AGATGACAGTTACATAAAAAGTAAGGGTCACGATATTCTGCGACTTCCACCCTATCACTGTGACCTTAACCCCATTGAAATGATATGGGGTATTGTCAAAAGAAATGTTGCTAGATCAAACACAACTTTTAGATTACGTGACGTAGAGGTTTTGGTTAAAGAATCCCTTAACAAAATTACTACTGAAACTGGGCAAAACTGTGTCAACAAGGTAGCTAACGTCATTGAACAAGGTTACTGGTCTCGGGATGGCTTACAACAGGCAACTGTGGCACCACTTGTCATCCCTTTAAGTCGTGACTATGACACTACGACGGACGAGGAACCGACAGGTCTCCCGGAATAGATTTTGAGATGACCCCCGCCGTGACTGGCTGTTCTGTTTCTGCGGTTTCACCCCGCCGCGACAGATAACTTTTGCGTTTTCAATTATGATAGTTTCTTAAACAACTTTCTTGGTGGAGTCCGGAAAATTTTCAAATATAAGAAAGCTGTTGGGTATTAGTAAATGATCAACATGTGTACTATTTATATTTATGTCACAATTTTGTACAATGATAAAATTTGCAATTCATCGGTCCGTTTCTGACTCAAACGGACTGTAAATGGATGATCGTCACTAAACGTGGTGACCATGGTCATAGCTAACTCTGTGTTTTCAATGTTTCAGAAGGATTCGTCAAAAGTTAGAGCGACCGTCACCAGAAGTTTACTGAGGAAGCAATATCGTGAAATGCTGAACAGTCCTTGGGGCGCTGGGGTAGCCTAGTAGTTAAACAGTTCGCTCGTCAGCCGTAGGCCCGGGATCGATTCACAGCATAGGTACAATGTGTTTAGCCCATTTCTAGTGTTCTCCGCCGTAATATTGCTACAAGGGCGTAAATCTGAACTCACTCACCACTCCTTATTCCTCATATTTGCGAATAAGACATTCAAGCATGAAGTAGGCAAGAAAATGTGCCCCCTTCTTGCACATCTGTTTCTTTAGGCATATGAAAAATAATAAGGGGATTAGGGGAATAAAAGTTAAACTCAATATAAAAGTATAACGATGAACTAATATTGCTCAGCGATGATAAAATGACTTCCTTTCCGGAAAGTTATCCAGTCTAAGTAAACTTCGGCTCAGTATTATTCGTTACACTGCTATACTGAGACTCAATGTAGCAGTGTAACGAATAATGCTGAGCCGAAGTTTACTTAGACTGGAAATTTATCCCCCTTAGCTAGCGATGAAATGGGTCACGGAAATCGTCTCAGCTGTTTCGAAGTAGGATACATGTATGGACATTCTCCGAGACATACTGCCAACGACGTATAATATTAAACTGCCACTAGTCAAATCTCCCGTTACATTTTGCAATATTCCAGCAGCTCCAGCATCGGTTGCCGTGACACTGCCTAACAGAACTCCAGTTGTCCGTGGGTTAATGAGGCATTGATGATAGTTTTAGATGTCAGTGTCTGACGTCACCAGCCGTGGTAGACCTGGCGTAACGACTGAGGCGCCCGCACATATGTACTGTTATTTTCATCTGACACCAAGTTCAGCATGGGCGCTGTTCCAGGAGCCATCATAATCTCCACATCTCCTCACATGGAATGCAGCATCGGCGTAAAGCCATCATACTTTTACGTATGATTTGCAGCAAAGGAATGGTTATTTTGTTAGTATTTTTCTCTCTCTCTCTCTCTCTCTCTCTCTCTCTCTCTCTCTCTCTCTCTCTCTCTCTCTCTCTCTCTCTCTCTCTCTCTCTCTCTCTCTCTCTCTCTCTCTCTCTCTCTCTCTCTCTCTCTCTCTCTCTCTCAAACAGACACACACACGCGCGCGTCAGGAACAATGTTTTATATCACGTACTGAAATCTTCAATTTCCTACAGGAAATATACAGGTTATACATATATCGAGGGGATAGGCTTTCATCTGCACTGCAGAGGTCGATTGGATGCCAAAACATTCCAGGCTGGGAATTTCAATGCTTTATTTATGACAGCAAAACTCTTATGTAGAACAATACGATTCCAGATTAGTTTTAACATACTATTGACATTGTGTCATTCTAAGATATTAACAAACATTCCATTGGAAGTCCATGCATCTTACGTTAATGTAAGATAGTGCCAAAGCAATGCCCTCAGTGGTGGATTGATTGTACCATCTGAAGAAAACCTGTCCTTTGATGGTAATCTTGCCAACCACGTCTAAAAAACAATCAAAAGGATTCCGAGCCAAGACCCAAACCTGCCTCATCGCCTACTGGAATCACTATACCCTGCAAAGGCCCTGTCAGTCATCAGATTTCGTGCCTAATCAAGAACAAAGCCAACATATATGTCACCTCTTCTTGTGGCAAGAACATTATCATCACCAATCTGTATGTCGATGGCAGACCCCTACGTTGCGATCAATTCATTGGTGAAACCATCAGACCCCTAAAGTCAGAGAACACCAGTCACCTATCAACAAGTTCGAACAGAAATCCTCCATTGCAGAACACATCAACATCATGTTGGAAAGTACAATAGTCCTGTAGGAAGCTACATGATGCCACTGCCACCAAGCCAGCTGTAAATCATGACCAGGGAACATATCTGCCTAACAATTGGGACATATTGACTTAACTATCCCTCCAGCTGGATTCTATCACCAACCAGCGCCATTAACATGATTAACTCCCTCCAGCTGGATTCCATCACTATCACCAACCAGCGCCATTAACATGATTAACTCCCTCCAGCTGGATTCCATCACTATCACCAACCAGCGCCATTAACATGATTAACTCCCTCCAGCTGGATTCCAGGCCATCACTATCACCAACCAGCGCCATTAACATGATTAACTCCCTCCAGCTGGATTCCATCACTATCACCAACCAGCGCCATTAACATGATTAACTCCCTCCAGCTGGATTCCATCACTATCACCAACCAGCGCCATTAACATGATTAACTCCCTCCAGCTGGATTCCAGGCCATCACTATCACCAACCAGCGCCATTAACATGATTAACTCCCTCCAGCTGGATTCCATCACTATCACCAACCAGCACCATTAACATGATTAACTCCCTCCAGCTGGATTCCATCACTATCACCAACCAGCGCCATTAACATGATTAACTCCCTCCAGCTGGATTCCATCACTATCACCAACCAGCGCCATTAACATGATTAACTCCCTCCAGCTGGATTCCATCACTATCACCAACCAGCGCCATTAACATGATTAACTCCCTCCAGCTGGATTCCATCACTATCACCAACCAGCCATTAACCAACCAGCTGGATTCCTCCAGCTGGATTCCATCACTATCACCAACCAGCGCCATTAACATGATTAACTCCTCCAGCTGGATTCCATCACTATCACCAACCAGCGCCATTAACATGATTAACTCCCTCCAGCTGGATTATCACATGATTAACATGATTAACTCCCTCCAGCTGGATTCCATCACTATCACCAACCAGCGCCATTAACATGATTAACTCCCTCCAGCTGGATTCCATGCCATCACTATCACCAACCAGCGCCATTAACATGATTAACTCCCTCCAGCTGGATTCCAGGCCATCACTATCACCAACCAGCGCCATTAACATGATTAACTCCCTCCAGCTGGATTCCATCACTATCACCAACCAGCGCCATTAACATGATTAACTCCCTCCAGCTGGATTCCATCACTATCACCAACCAGCGCCATTAACATGATTAACTCCCCCTAGCCCTCATTCCATCCATTATCTATCAGTGCTTAGTAACCTATTACTGCGTATTACCAATCTGTACTATTTACACTTTGATTTTCTCCTGGCTCCCCATGTTGAGTGTCCAACTTTGTTGGCTTATCACTTTTAACACACATTGCTGTCTGCTTCCAAGCAGTATATCATTCTGCCAGAGTGAGCTAAAGAAGGCTCAGTAGCAGGTGCGAGTTTAAAAGTGTTCACCTCTGCTCCGCCTTTGGTGCCTGGTGGAGTCTGTTTCAGGATGATCAGGGATTACTTATACAGTTTATGTTTTGTGAAGAGATTTGTGGATCATTGCTTAAGTCACTGTCTGATCCAGACTGGATCACTCAGCAGAACTTAATTAACAGTCAGTAATACCCTGGTACATGAAGTCTCACTACTGTGTAAAACCCTGGAGACTCTTCATACCCTGAAGATACTACAGCTATTGACAGCGACACAGAAGGCACTGCTGCAGCATGACACGAAAGCCTAGATATGGTTCAGGGTGCCGCAGCATAAAAAAGATGTACACGGCATACGGATATTACTTGATTAAATAATCTCTGAAGTAGATCAATGCATAAGTAATACAGAATACAAAGTGAATTTCTTTTGTGATCTTCTTTTGTCTAAAGAACTGACACTGAGTTTGGTTTTACGCCGCTTTTAGAAATATTCCAGCAACATCACAGCGGGGGACACCAGAAATGGGCTTCACACATTGTACCCATGTGGGGATTCGAACCCGGGTCTTCGGCGTGACGAGCCAATGCTTTAACCATTAGGCTACCCCACCGCCCCTTGTCTAAAGAAGAAATTAATATCAGAAGTGTCACTGATTATGAATGAAAAAAGAGTCTCTACAATGATCTTTCATGACGTTAGTGTACTAATAATAGCTGCTGTAGGCATTAAGCAGCATGTTTATATGGGCTTAATTTGTTGGTGGTTGCAAAAATAAGTCAGTACCACATATAGTCAGAGACCTTAGCAAACTTTCAAATGGGTCATTTATTATCTCTTCACAATGTGCATAATAAATCCTTAGAACGATCTTAGAGTACTTGGGGGAGTGGGGTGCCTTGTGGTTTGAGTGATCGCTCATCACGCGACCCGGGTTCGATTTCCCACATGGGTACAATGTGTGAAGCCCATTTCTGGTGTCCCCTTGCCATGATATTGCTGAAATATTGCTAAAAGCACATAAAACTAAAACTCACTCACTCTTAGATTACTTTCATTGTGAATGTTCAGAACACCTTGATAGTGTATCTGATATATTGTTCAACTATATTGCAAAGCTGCTAACATTTCCCCAACTTCACACATTTCTCTGCATGTCACCTCACCTCTATCACACACAAAATATTCTCCTGAATGTCATTAGCTGCTCCAGTCAGATTTGATGCCTGAAATACAGCAGACTTCATTCTGCTGAGGACAAACGCCTCATATTCCGACTTATTACATCACGAACAGATGAAGCTGCTACATCCAGCACTGACTTCCCATCATTGTCATGCTTTGTCGGGTCTATACCCTTCTCCACCAGATACTCCACTACCTCTCTGTCCCCGACCTCGGCAGCAGGGAACAGTGCTGTACGTCCTTTCTTGTCCACATCTAGGAAGGGTGCTCGTTTCTCTTCAATGAGATAATACAACTTCTCAGCTGCTTCAAGACTGGATCCTGCTGCTGCATGTACAACCGTTTGTTCCCCCCTGTCTGTCTCCCTGACATCTCCACCTTTCTCACACAGGAACTCCACCATTTCCAGGTCCCCATGAGCCGCTGCTGCATGAAGGAGACTTCTTCCTGTAGATGTCGTCTTAAAGCTCTCTGGTCTTTGCATAGGGCCTTCAGTACTGGCAGATTGTTGACATTGCAAGCGTTAACCAAACAAGTGTCACCATTGCTGTTGGTTCTGTGTGTGTCCACCTTACTGGCTTGGAGGATCTTCAGGTTTTCAATTACTAATCTACCATTACCAAGTGTTAACCACAGTGTGTATATCCTTGTAATGTGAGATGAAGTAGTCTTGTATGTAGGTTCTGGTTGGTTCATGAAAGCACAACTCATATAAAGGCATCCCATTACTGAGTGTTTGACCTGACTGGCAGATGACTTGCATACACTCCCGACTGTTGGAGAGCGCTGCACAATGCAGGGCTGTAACCTCAGCCTCATTCAGACAAGTAACATCTGCACCATTATCTAACAGTTCAACTACACATTCAACATTTCCCCTAAGGGCTGCAAAATGAAGGGGAGTGTTATTTTGTCCATCAGTCACATTTACCCCAAGGCCTTCTTTTGTCGTATCTAACTGCATCAATCGCTTGATCTTTAAGAGACTGTCAACTGCTGATCTAGCTGCACAGTGCAAAAGGGTATCGTTCTGTTTGCCAACAGGCCTATTAAGCCTGATAGTATCACTTCTATTTAGAAGCTCCTCTAGACACTGGATTGAGCCATAGATAGTAGCATATTTCAACAATACCATTTCTTTATCTTGGCAGATTGTGGAGACTTCCAGCAAGCGTTTCAGTATGTCAACATTGACATGGCCAGCTGCTAGACTCAGAAGAATGTCTTTGTCATATGAACATTCTGTATCCAGAAGGATATTCATGAGATCCAGGACATTAATGTTCATTGCTTTGCATTCATTTGGTGGAATGAAGCCAGATGTTTGGTAAAGAAGTTGGATCAAACATTTGGCAAAAGCGTGTTTGTTAGCCTGTTCAGATTTCATTTTATCCACCAGCAGCTTTGTAACTCTGATATTCCCAAACTGGATTGCCATTGACAACAGCTGTGTCCAGTTATGTATGCCACTCCACTGTGTCTTTTCAAACACCATGTCCACCATGTGTTTATCTGCCTGAGGAACACAACACAGAGTCTTGATGCTGTCAGCAGACGTTGGTACTCCCTTGTTCAACAGTTTCAAGACTGCTTCATGGTTGTTGTTGTATATGTAACAGGTCAGTGCTTCATTTAACAAGGTATGTGACAGGTCAACCAGACCTTGTTTGAACAGAAGTGTATTGGCAAACTGCACCAACCCTTTCATGATGATGAAAGACACAAGATATTCATAAGGAAAAAGTTTTTCCTTCAGAAAGATGTCTGAAGTTTCATCAATCATGTCGACTGAATCTGCAGTCACATCTTCAATGATGTCTTGGTTGAAGATATTAAAACAACAACAGCCACCACCAATGTTTTTCGTAGCAAGTTCAAACACTAAGTTGTTATCATTACCGTCCAATATGGAATTGACAAATTCCATGTTGCTAAAACATGGGTGATCTAGTATTTCAACTCTGTCATCCATAAGAATTTTAATAATCCTTTCTCTGAAAACCTCCAGCAAGTTTAAGTTATCATCAATGTAGATAAGAGATTCATCTTCTTCATCACATATTGTGTCTGACCTTGCAACTCTGACAAACTTAACTAGAACTTCAATAGAACACTCGTCAAGGAACATTGCCAAGTGTGTTTGGGCAGCATCGAGAAACACAACATCAGAAACTGCTGTATGTTCAAATTCAAAGACATTTTTGCTCTTCTTGAGATAGGTGTCAGAAAGTTCATTTGCCTTATCCTTGATGCTCCTACAGTTAGGCATCTGATCCAGTGAAATACATGTGTCACTAAGAACATCAATAAGATGTTTCAATTCTGTTGGTGGCTTGTCCAACATCTTGGCATCAAGGCGTCCTTTCATCAATATGAGCAGGAGAACCAAGTATCCAAGTTGATCATTGTCTCTCAGCATTGAGACATCAGTTGTAAGGAAATCATATGCATAGCTGTTTGACGTTCCCTTCTTGGCCTTCACTCTCCGAGCAAACAGTTCACAACACCTGGGAAAACCAAAACGTGTTTTCGTGTCAACTATCTCCTGTATATCCTCCTTTTTCAAATTCAGCCGCCCACATTGTTTCAAAAATAACTTAGTTTTCTCCTTGGGACGTAGAGCATGTTTTCCATCAAGATCTAACATAGTCATGCGCTTCATCAGCTTGTACTTCATTACTCGACATTGACACTTTGAGAAAATATCTGTTCGTGATGTGACAATCAGAGATATTTGGCCCGACTCAACCGTTGGCCACATCAGGTCGAACAGCTTCTCCCACTCATCAAAAACGCTTTGGAAAAGTTACTGGAGCCAAACATGTCATCGATCATCACAATGTATTTCCTTTGGGCCTTTTCAGAATGCCTTTTTGTTTTCGGGATCAAGTGCCAATCACTGGCTAAGGTCAAAACTAATGGTGTCCTTTTTGATTCCTTTGATAGCTTTGAAAGCAGGTGTACTCCAAGCCTAGTTTTACCAGTGCCATGCTGTCCCTTGATAAAGAGAGAACCATCAAAATGGAGTCTCTTCATTGTCCTTAAGGAGTATCTTTCTACAAATGTTGATACATATGAGGACCTGTCGAAATTGTTTATAAAGTCTTTTGTTGATTCTGAAAGTAAGAGAAATATCATGATATAGTGACAAATGCCACAACAAAATGAAGGTATATACTACACAACAGAGTTAGTAACTAATAATCTACCCTGACTTCAGTAAATACTGGATTGTGATTGGTTATTCAGAAGTCATTCAGAGGTATATAGTCACGTTATGTACATCTGATTTTCCAACTCAGTACATTTTTTTATTGTATTTTTTTAAAATCTTAATAACGTGGTTATGGTAGAATGGAGATAAACTTACTGTGTTGGAAAATCAGAGGTATATAACGAAAATGTAATTTTCTGATTAAAATTGATATTTTCTACTTATCCTGACTCATGCTTAATTGCTTGTCTTCTTCTTCTTGCGAACTATAGTGGAACACTTGAATCCCCTTTTGAAGCTCCCTTCAAAAAAGTAGACGTAAAATCTCGTTGTCTCCCTTTCCCCCATCTTTTGGCACGAAAGTTGGTCACATGATCGGCCATGCTTGTCACTCTCTCCGTAAGTTCGAGCCCGACACTTGGATTTGCAGGGAAATCCAGAGTGCCATGAGGGGAGGTTGGGAGGGCTAACCTCATGAGTCAGGATAAGTATAAAATATCAATTTTAATCAGAAAATTACATATTTTTCCTTATCCTGACTCATACTTAATTGCTTGTAGAATCCGACGGAAACGGTGGTGGGTCAAGCCACTCTGGATTCTCTGCTGATTTACGTCCTTATACCCCCTTGGAAACTTCTAATGGCATTTGTCCTTTCTTCCAGCTTCCTCTGATGAGTGGGGGGACCACAACTTGCCAGATTTATCCTGGAAATCTTCTCCAGACATTCTGTGTGGATTTATGCAACTCTATCTCTTGATGCTTGCATCAAGTTGAGAAGTGACCCTACTTCGTGTACAAGTAAGTCCTTACAAGTACAGAGTCCATCACTCATGCCAGCCTGTCCTAGACGTGCGCATGGACTTTAAAACCGTAACTCTGTTGAGTGTTGGCTTTTACAAGTCACGTGACAAAGGGGTGAGATTTATCTCAGCGTCTTTGAGGTACCGTCAATTGTTGTGCTACAACAAGAGGCCCAAACTGGTGGATGCCGGAGACGTCCTCTGAAGCCATGTCTCTTAGGTAGTGGTTGGCAAACACCGTTTCCGATCTCCAAAAGCAGCTCTCCATTATTGTTGAGATGGAGCAGTTTCCATGCAGAGCTAGTGTGGATGCCAGTGCTCTGACTTCATGAGGTTTGGAGGCTCGTGGAGGATCAAGTCCTGCTGCTTTATAGGCTTTCAATATGACGGCTCTCATCCATATTGATATAGTTGTATGTGAGACTTCTAGGTGTCTCCGTGCATAGAGGGATGAAAAGGCGCGCTTTCGTCTCCTCAATTTAGACCTCTGTAGATATATTTTCAATGCTCTGATTGGACAAAAGGATCGATCTAGCGTATCCTGTGGTCCTAATATCGACGAAAGTGCTGGGATATGGAATTGTCTGTCTGGTTGACCGGGCAGTTGATTGTTTGCTAAAAAATCCCATCTTAGTCAAATCTTGTTCTTCCTAAGTCTAGAGCATGAATTTCTGACATCCTTGCCGCTGTTGCTAGGGCTACGAGGAACAGGGTTTTATGAGTTAATTTCTCATATAATGTCCTTTCTAGTGGTTCATAATCTTCACTGGTGAGGGGAGGTAAACCCACATTGAGATCCCAAGCGGGCGCCTTGAACTTCCTTTGTTGGTCTTCAAACTTGAAAGAGCGTAGTAGTGCCAGTATCTCTGGTACTTTGATCAGTTTTATACACGATTCCATCGTGATAACTGTTCTTAAGGCCACTAGGTATGTAGAGAGTGTAGATCCCTTTAATCGTTTTGTCTGTCTAAGATGACAAAGGTATTCCGCCACTTGAGGATGTGTTGGTTCCATCGCAGTGAAGCCTTTATTCCGTGCATATTTCTCAAAACTTTGCCACTTGTCATCATACAAGTTACGGGTTGATCTACCTTAGGCTAAAGTTACTGCTTTGGCAGCTCTGGTGAAATATCCTCTTTTCTTCAAGCAAGTCGTGATACGCCCCATGCGTGTAGCTGAAACATTGTTGGATTTCAGTGTGCTTGCTTGGTGTGTGGATGAATCAGTAGATTTAGCTACTTGGAAGTTGTAGGATTGGCTTTCCTAGATCTTGTATAAGGTTGGGAAACCGCACTCTCGCTAACCGATAGGGCGTGACCAAAATCAGTTGTAACTTGTTTGTCACCTTGATTCCCTGTAATAGCTTTGGTATTAACTCATTAAGCCCGAGAGCCCCATCACTACTCAACACCTGGAAGCCCTCGCTGATTGCCCACTCTCTGTGCCGAGACTAATTAGTGCTAGTCACACCTGATTTCCCTGGCAGGTTTCGGGGATCACAGGGAACTGTCTAGTCAAGTCCTGATTGTTTAATTGTGTCGTAAAGATATATGTTGAAAGAAATCAGGTGTGAATACATGTCGTGTATTGCAAGCTTTATGTAATTTTAATGCAAGTTTCTCTTGTAGACCTTTTGTCGGCTTGTACATTTATATTTTATAACAATATGCATACACATGTATTCTTTGTATGTAACAGATGAGACCCACGTTAACAAATTCTCTCTCTTATATCATTGTGTGAGGTTTAAATTTACAAAACATCTATGACAATGACATACTGTAAAGAAGAATTTACTTTCATACTTTATAATCTTCGACGAAAATAGCGGTTTTGCCGATACATTTCTAGTGTTTACGAATTATTTTAATGAAAGTACTATAACGCTAGTCTGTGACTAGCACAAAGCACATTCATAGCATTGCACTTTATTTCATACAGATTTAATGCAGAAAACAGACGTGACCATACTAACATACATATACAAAATGTATACTACATATTCCTTGCATAGACATAAAACAAAGAGTCACGTGATAGGGCGTCATCAAATTTCCCGAATAGAATGTTCGGTATCTCAACTGTTCAATGTAGTGGCTGGTCATATGTTATCTGCGACCAATCGTATCATGAGATACCTGTCACAGAGGAAAGGTCAGGTGATGGGGCGTGGGCGAAATTTCTGAAGAGCACGTTTGGTCACTCAGCAGCTTGGATAAAGATTGGTTATTGGCTATATCCTTGACCAGTCGATATGCTGGGTTTCGGCTTTATCAACTCAAGCTATCATGTAACAGTTTGTGTATTGTAAACATACACACTGGTAACGATGTATGAAATATACACATAAGACAAATAGGAGTATAGATAGTCACTTTGGCGAGTTTATTTGTCCTCATTTTAGTGTAAAAAGTACAACAAAGCGATTGAAATCCAACCACTGAGTAGAGGTAGTATTTATTTTCATATAAATTTTATGCACACAACTAGTACATAAAACATAATGGTTTGCTGTACATGTAAATATAATCTTCACCTTGATACGAATGACTATCCAAACTAGAGTACACGCATTACAGAATTCACGAGGTGACACTGTACTGAATTATTATAGTGTATAAACTTGCAGTTGACACCCCCACCCCAATATTTATGAAGGTGGGCGTGCCTATATCTTTACTGAATGCAAACGAGGTTCATAAGATTACAGATGTGCATGCATGTATAAACATCACAGAGAGGGGCGTGACTCCATAAAGCAAGGTGTCCAATGATATAACAGCGCATCTGTTTATTTTACACTTGTCACGGGACAAACCTTTCAACAAGGACCTAACTACATATGCATTCTACCGGAGGCTGTTATTTCAAGGTCGAAAGAGGCGTTCAATTATCTCATTACTGTAATCTGCTTGAATGATTATACGCATGTGTATCGATACCGTAACTGATATACATAGATGGCATAACATACATATATAATCATGTAAGCGAACAGTTTCATATCTATTTCATGACCACATTGGCACGAAACTCACGTTTGTTTTTACCGCATTGTTTTTACACCATAGCAGGTGGTGTACATCTTGTGATGAAAACTCATGTTGTTTGTAAACATTTTATACAGCTCGCTCTACTGTTATTTCTTGATTAAATCGTCTCAATTAATTATCCTGTGTTCCTAATTAACAAGTGTGATGTTCACTGACGTCGGTGTCAAGCAGCCAGTAAGGCACACGCTAATTACCACTCACGTGTGATTGTTTGTATACGGTTGGATCATCCGACCGGCTGTGTTCATTGTCGGATTAACGAATGTTTTTACAATGTATTTACAATAATCAGTTGCTAGATTGGTGTGTCGAAGTCGGAATGCGAGAATGTCGGATTAACGAGAGTAATTATCACTGTTTTAAATGGTTCCCTAATTTTTTGTCGGAATAACGTGAGCTGACTGTACTATCCAGCTTTTATTGACGATGGATCAATAGAGACTGAGTTGATTGATACACGTGATAATTGCACCGGATTTGATAATTACACAGATCAAATACAAACGTTTTATAGAATGCTCATGTAAATTCCATAGAAAACTGACAATTGAAATCAACATGAAACTTTCAACAGCTTGAACAAAAATGCTTGAAATACCTTTGTTTGGCTTACATGTAATAACTTATGATATTACTTCTGTCCATGTGTGACAATGTTTTGAATTACCAACTTACTGTCTTTTGTAACAATATATGTATTCGATGCAAAGGAGCGACTTATCACTTTATATTCGCTTAGGTAACATTACGAACTTTAGATTATGGAAAACAACTAGTTACAATTCAGTAAACTTCAAATTAGTAAGTTCAATTATGTTTAATCTATTCGAGCTTGGATGTATAATTACTTGTGTTTATACATTATGTTTCAGTATATGAAACATGACAACGTAATGATGCCTAAAAAGTAAATTCAAACTATTCTATTGTGTTTGAATTCTTTGTATGTCCTTGAAATTTCGTATATTGTTTCCTATTTATTAGGTAGTTGAAGGAAATATAACCTTTAGTAACCTCTAAACCATTACATCTAATTCAATCAAGGTGCATACGAAGTATTTTAGTATCCATTCCCAAGGAAGAGTACCAGGCACTTACCTCTGTAAAAAACATCGTAATCCCCTTTCTCGCCGACATGCGTTCATTTGCTAAACGCTGTACAAGCCTATGATAATGATTAGCAAGTGTTATCAAAACGCTTTAAATACTTCTTCTGATTGATACTAAAGGTGGGATCTCTCGTAAGAAAAGCTAACATTTGCTCAGTACTGCTGAATTGGTTGAAATAATAGGTACAGTGCGAGTTTTAAAAGTACATGTGCATCTCTCGCTGAATAAGAGGTGCTTTCTGTTGACGACTGTATGTGGCTCTCGCTGTGAGAAACTGCTAATTACCTGCCCCATAAACACGTCACTCGCTGTGAGGAGCTGATTAATTTGCCCCATATATGCGTCTCTCGGCCTTGATGAGTTAACGCAGGAGGAGGGAACGCGTATGCGTTTAGTTCTTCCCAAGAGATGCTTAGAGTATCTGTTGCCCATGCTTGTGGATCTGGAAACGGAGAGACAAATGTTGGTAGTTGTTTGTTGAACTTGGTTGCGAACAAGTCTACCAGTGGGCATCCTACTGTCTGAATGATGTCTCTGAACGCCTCTGGATATAACATCCACTCCGTCGGTAATGGATTCATTGGACGGGATAGGGCGTCTGCTATCACATTTCTGGCTTCGGGAATGTGTGATGCTTTTATGTCGATGTTCAGGTTGTCTACTATGCTGAATAGATGAAAGCTGAGGTCTAACATATTCTTTGATCTTGTTGACCCTTGTTTGTTGATGTAGAACGCCACTGTGGAGTTGTCCGTATGGATCATCAGTTGGGCGTTCCTTAGTATGCTGGACCAGTGTAGTAAGGCGTTTATCTTGAGCATGTTGATGTGCAGACTCTGCTCCTGATTCGACCATTTCCCTGCTGCCACTTCGTTGTCGAAGTGAACTTCCCAGCCTTGAAGTGATGCATCTACGTAGAGATGAGTGTTGCACTCCAGCTCTGATGAGTAGGATCCTCCACAAATATTTGACTTCCTAGTCCAGCATAGAAGATATGGTTTCAATCCGTCCGGTAGTCCTAAGGAGACCAGACGGTTGAGATCGCCGTTCACAAACACTTGTAGTGTGCGCAATTGTAGACCTTCTCTGCAAGTCATGTCTTGTGCTGACGTGAGAAAACTGAGTAGGCTCTGCCAACTTCGTAGTGGTAACGGAGAGAGTAGTGCTTGAGATACCATGGCTTGTATCTAGACCCAACTATTCTTTGAGACGACAATGCAATTCTCGGTGAGATGAACATCTTCCGAAAATTCTGCTCATATCCTACGTTGTAGGTACCCTTGCCATGTCCATAATGCCAGCGAAGCAACATGTCCGGTTCTGGCAACATGACTTGAAGTTTATTTCTTCAATCTTCCGATAATATGTTAAAAGGACTTGCCATCAGAATCGCCACAAGTGCAGTGATGATGCATAATTCGTCGTCTCTAGATGTACTGGAATTGCCATCGCTGTGAAGTCTAATTATAGTAGACTGGCTGCCTCGAGCAGAAATCGTCAAACGTATGTTGCTGCAATTCGTCAGATTACCAATCTTCAAACTGTTGACAGGGAAGGTCCTTATGACCCGTGAAGACGGTCAAATCACGCTGTACCCTGCTAACTGGACTGTAAATGGAGCCTTCCTCCCACGTTGAAAAGTTGTTTACGATTGTAGATAACTTCCTGACACGTGAGATGTGCCTGACTTCTGCACAGGGCGTTGTCTCTCATGGACCAATCAGATAGCATCATTTGATTCATCTCAGATTCCCCCGCGATGTGACGTCACCGGTTTTGCAGGAAAAAGATCCTTGTAAAATCTTGTGCAGTCGTTGATTTCTCTCATCAACACTCGGCCTTGTCCGCAACTTCCCGGAATACACAAGTGAACACGTGTATAGCAGGCTGAGTGGAAAACGCGCGAAAGATTTCGCCGCGTAATACCGATGTAGGTAGACTGTTTCCCTGGCTGTTGTGACTTTTCTCTTCTTCACTGAAGATAATGCAGTCGTCACTTTATACAGATGATCAGCTGAAGTTCCATACTTGCTTAACGTTGATACTTGTAGACTGTAGTCATCAGTCGCAATGAAGTGCCTTAAAATAACCGATTGTGTTGAATACACAAAAGTTATTTCAGAGTTGCCATATTTCATGTCTCTAGCTCTCTGAATTCCTGCAAATTTAGATTTGCCAGAGTAGCGCTGTGATGTCTGTCTGATAACGCTGGCCAGTGTATCGATGGACTTGATCATCATAACTTCTCTGGACTCCTTCGTAACTTCTTTAGCCACTTCTTCAATTTCCCCTGCGAAGATATTCGTTGCTGCCCATGGATCTCTGAATAGCGGTTTGGTGAACTTCTCACTTCATTTACAAGATGATAGTAGACCTTGTCTTCGTAGCAGTGTTAATCCCGCCGATGTAGACGCTAGATGTTCTGACTTGGTCTTTCCTTTGGGTCAGTAAGGGTGAGCAGATCATCCGATCTTCTTCAGATGTTGAGTTTGCAAACTTCGCAATTAGGGTTTCGTTGATGGCTCGTGATCTGGCTCAACCAAAAAGAAGGTACGTCTAGTGGTTGTGTCTAGTTGCGCAAGCTTCTTGTCCTCCACTTTATAAGTCCTGATGCGAGCCTCATTGATGAGTTTATAGTTTTCATCTACTTCTGGGGCCTTCATGAACGGTTCCATGTGATGAAGTGAAAATCTCTTGGCATTAAACGGTGGAATGCTTTGACTTTAAAACTTCGTTGCCTTCTTAAAGGCTCAGCTGAGGTTGTCTGGGACATCCAATACCGGTTCTATGGGTGGCAGCGTTAGCGTGTCAAAATCGTTGTTAGACATCATGTATGTGTATGCTTCATTATTCTCTCTAGATGGTGATGCAAGCTCCAGACCATTAGCCATCCAGGATTTGATCTCTGTGTTGGAGAAAATGACTCCTCCATCATCTTCCGGTTTCGATGTGTCTCGTTCTGAAGATCGTTGCCGTTGGTCCTGAGCTCTAGGTGGAGATCTACGTGTAAGCCTGCGCAAGTGCCTTATTGGAGATGTACTAGGTGATCTGTATCTGCGTGGAGACGACCATGAAGACCTTCCTGAGGATCTGTGCGACGGTGACCTGTCTCTATGAGCTGTATCTCTTCTGCGTGGTGTACGCATAGGCCTCTGGTGATTGTCTGAGTCCGATCTGCGATGCCTTTCGCGAATGCTCCTCGTCTATTCCAGGAGTCTCTTCATAATTGTTGCTTCCTTCGTGAATGCCTTCGCAGGTGCTGTCTCGGTTGTTGTTTCCATGAGTGTCTTCACCAGTGGTTCTTCTGCGAATGCCTTCGCGAGATCCGTCACGAGAGTTGCTGTCTTCATGAGCGTTCCCTTCACGAACGTTTTCTTCACGCAGGTTGCGTCCTTCATCCCAATGAGGTGTAGACGATGTTCGTCCTCCTTGCAGACTCGTCTGCTTCTCCGCAGTCTTCTCCTGAGCGAACCTACGTTCCATCAGGTCCATCATCTGCTGGGTAAACTGCTGCATAAAGATGCCCGGGTTGAAGGTCTGCGCTGATAACTGTTGTTGTTGTACAGATGACGCTGCATCTGACAGTGCTGAGGTGTCATCTAAAGAGTGCCTGTCCTCTCTGGTAGTTGCAGTCTGTGTAGATAGGACGTCTGACTGCGTTGATATAGTTGCAGATGTCAGTGTAGAAGAAGATTTCGTCTTCTTCCTCGCCGGTACTTCAGGGATGAGGATTGGCGGCTCATCATAAACGTCTGCTTCGTCCGATGGGCTGATATCTGCGGCGAAGGATCTCGACTTCTTCGCTGCCCCCATTGACGACTTGACTGTAGACTTGTCTGAAGACGGCTTAGTCTTCACAGCAGATGGCGTCCTGGTCTTCTTGGACTGCGACGAGGATTGTTGAGTCGATGACGATCTTTTCCAAAGGCCGGAACCCTCATTCCTCTGCTCTGAAGACGTCACCGGCAGCTCACTGGAATGATGTACCTCGACAGACAACAACCCACGATTATTAACGCATTCACCCTGTTGAGACATGACTTGCAATTGCCGCCTCAACTTGTCCTTGGCACATCTATGAATAGAATATAAATAATTACAAAATTCAATTTGAGATAAATGCTGACAAAGTTTACAGCGGAGGCTGGAAGAACATATAGAAGTGCAGTTAGGACATAGTAAATGCGGATCAGCAGCTGACAACCGAAACCTGCTAGAAATGCAAGTCTTCATGAAATGTAAACAAGTTGAGACATGTTGCCAACAAGGTGAAAAACGGACAAATTTAGAATAAATTTCAAACCATATTGTTGGTAAATCCTTGCTAAAGCCCTTATACAGCTAATTTAGTATAAAAGCCTAAAATTCAAAGGATATGTGCCGTGTAGGGGAACCAGGGCGCTCTCACAACCGTCCACTAGGGCGAAGAAGGAGAGAGTGACAAGTAAGGCCGATCATGTGACCAACTTTCGCGCCAAAAGATGGGGGAAAGGGAGACAACTGGGGTGAGTGATTTTACGTCCACTTTTTTTAAGGGAGCTTCAAAAGGGGATTCAAGTGTTCCACTTTAGTTCGCAAGAAGAAGAAGACAAGCAATTAAGCATGAGTCAGGATAAGGAAAAATTTATAATAGCTCGAAATTTTCTAGCTATAAAACCTTAAGCTACGCGTTCGGTTTTAAATCAAATTCAGAGCTATTATAATTTTGTTATATACCTCTGATTTTCCAACACAGTATGTTTATCTCCCGAATGTCCCATCCCTGTGAGTAAGTTATCTTTTGGTGATCATAAAATTCCTGCTGGAGTTTTACATATATAGTTTATAGTTCAGGCATATATAACTCACCTTTGATGTTATTCAATCGAGATTCACCTGATGAAGAAAAAAAAAAATGTTATATTCCTGTATGTTTATCTAAAAATTCAGTTGTTTTGGTCCATCAGTATTGTATATATCACTAGACCCGTGAAGATCCGGGTAAAAATTGATCTTCAGTAACCTATGTTTGTCGTAAGAGGCGACTAATGGGTTCGGGTGGTCAGGCTCGCTGACTGGGTTGACACATGTCATCATATCCCAACTGCATAGATCAATGCTCATGCTGTTGACCCCTGGATTGTCTGGTCCAGATCCGATTATTTACAAACCCCGCCATATAGCTGGAATATTGCTGAATGTAGCGTAAAACTAAACTCACTCACTCACTCACTGTATATACCACTCAAAACTGCACAGTATGATCACAGTGATATTTAGCAATTCAGTTGATTATTGAAAACAATAACTGATCCACAAGGTGAGCAAAAACCAGAACACAGTTAATATGCATCTATATTTGTAGAAACGTTTGTCTCAGACTAATTTGTCAGACTAACTTGAAAATCTCGATGTAACCTACTTCTACCTCAAAATGTTTTGCAATGTTTAGCTTTTAATCTCATGATAGAATAACTAGAAAGAATGTAATACATGTTCCCTAGACTAGCTCACTATCTTCCCTACTCCTTTCTTTAACTAGATCCTAGCCTAACTCACTATCTTCCCTACTCCTTTCCCCACCTTTTAACTAGAGCCTAGCCTACCATCTTCCCTACTCCTTTCTCCACATTTGAACTAGAGCCTCGCCTACCATCTTCCCTATTCCTTTCTCCACATTTTAACTAGAGCCTTGCCTAGCTTACTATCTTCCCTACTCCTTTTCCACATTTTTAACTAGATCCTAGCCTACTATCTTCCCTACTCCTTTCTCATTTTAACTAGATCCTAGCCTAGCTCACTATCTTCCCTACTCCTTTCTTTACCTAGAGCCTAGCCTAGCTCACTATCTAGAGCCTAGCCTACTATCTTCCCTACTCCTTTCTCCACATTTTAACTAGATGCCTAGCCTACCATCTTCCCTACTCCTTTCTATAACTAGATCCTAGCCTAGCTCACTATCTTCCCTACTCCTTTCTATAACTAGATCCTAGCCTAGCCTACCATCTTCCCTACTCCTTTCTATAACTAGATCCTAGCCTAGCCTACCATCTTCCCTACTCCTTTCTATAACTAGATCCTAGCCTAGCCTACCATCTTCCCTACTCCTTCTCATTTTAACTAGAGCCTAGCCTAGCTTACCATCTTCCCTACTCCTTTCTCCACATTTTAACTAGAGCCTAGCCTACCATCTTCCCTACTCCTTTCTATAACTAGATCCTAGCCTAGCTCACTATCTTCCCTACTCCTTTCTATAACTAGATCCTAGCCTAGCTCACTATCTTCCCTACTTCTTTCTATAACTAGATCCTAGCCTAGCTCACTATCTTCCCTACTCCTTTCTATAACTACATCCTAGCCTAGCCTACCATCTTCCCTACTCCTTTTCTACATTTTAACTAGAGCCTAGCCTACCATCTTCCCTACTCCTTTCTATAACTAGATCCTAGCCTAGCCTACCATCTTCCCTACTCCTTTCTCCACATTTTAACTAGATCCTAGCCTAGCCTACCATCTTCCCTACTCCTTTTCCACATTTTAACTAGAGCCTAGCCTACCATCTTCCCTACTCCTTTCTATAACTAGATCCTAGCCTAGCCTACCATCTTCCCTACTCCTTTCTATAACTAGACCCTAGCCTAGCCTACCATCTTCCCTACTCCTTTCTATAAATAGATCCTAGCCTAGCCTACCATCTTCCCTACTCCTTTCTCCACATTTTAACTAGATCCTAGCCTACCATCTTCCCTATTTCTTTCTCCACATTTTAACTAGAGCCTAGCCTAACTCACTATCTTCCCTACTCCTTTCTCCACCTTTTAACAAGAGCCTAGCTTACCATCTTCCCTATTCCTTTCTCCATATTTTAACTAGATCCTAGCCTACCATCTTCCCTATTCCTTCCTCCACATTTTAACTAGAGCCAAGCCTAACTCACTACCTTCCCTACTCCTTTCTTTAACTAGATCCTAGCCTAGCTCACTTTCTTCCCACTCCTTTCTATAACTAGAGCCTAGCCTAACTCACTATCTTCCCTACTCCTTTCTTTAACTAGATCCTAGCTTAACTCACTATCTTCCGACTCCTTTCTATAACTATACCTTAGCCTAGCTCACTATCTTCCCTACTCCTTTCTCCACCTTTTAAAAAGAGCCTAGCCTACTATCTTCCCTACTCCTTTCTCCACATTTTAACTAGAGCCTAGCCTAGCTTACTATCTTCCCTACTCCTTTCTATAACTAGATCCTAGCCTAGCTCACTATCTTCCCTACTCCTTCCCCCACCTTTTAACTAGATCCTAGGCTAGCTCACTATCTTCCCTACTCCTTCCCCCACCTTTTAACTAGATCCTAGCCTAGCTCACTATCTTCCCTACACCTTCTCCCACCTTTTAACTAGATCCTAGCCTAGCTCACTATCTTCCCTACTCCTTCCCCCACCATTTTAACTAGATCCTAGCCTAGCTCACTATCTTCCCTACTCCTTCCCCCACCTTTTACCTAGAGCCTAGGCTACTCCACCATCTTCCCTATTCCTTTCTCCGCCTTTTAACTAGAGCCTAGCCTAGTTCACCAACTTCCCTGCTCCTTTCCTTTCTCCACCTTTTAACTAGAGCCTAGCCTAGCTCACTATCTTAACTACTCCTTTCTCCACCTTTTAACTGGAGCCTAGCCTAGTCCACCATCTTCCCTACTCCTTTCTCCACCTTTTAACTAGAGCCTAGCCTAGTCCACCATCTTCCCTATTCCTTTCTCCACCTTTTCAACTAGACCCTAGCCTAGCCTGCCATCTTCCCACTCCTTTCTCCACCTTTTAACTAGAGCCTAACCTAGTCCACCATCTTCCCTACTCCTCTCTCCACCTTTTAACTAGAGCCTAGCCTAGGCCACTATCTTCCCTACCCCTATCTCCATCTTTAAACTAGAGCCTAGCCTAGGCCACTATCTTCCCTACCCCTATCTCCATCTTTAAACTAGAGCCTAGCCTAGTCCACCATATTCCCTACTCCTCTCTCCACCTTTTAACTAGAGCCTAGGCTAGTCCACCATCTTCCCTATTCCTTTTCCCATCTTTTAACTAGAGCCTAACCTAGTTCACCAACTTCCCTGCTCCTTTCCTTTCTCCACCTTTTAACTAGAGCCTAGGCTAGCACACGATCTTCCCTACTCCTTTCTCCACCTTTTAACTAGAGCCTAGCCTAGCTAACTATCTTCCCTACTCCTTTCTATAACTAGATCCTAGCCTCGCTCAATGACTTCCCTACTCCTTTCTCCACCTTTTATCTAGAGCCTAGCCTAGTCCACCATCTTCCCCACTCCTTTCTCCACCTTTTAACTAGAGCCTAGCCTAGCCCACCCCACTATCTTCCCCACTCCTTTCTCCACCTTTTAACTAGAGCCTAGCCTAGCCCACCTTCTTTCCTACTTTTTTCTCCACCTCTTCACTAGATCCTAGCCTAGTTCACTATCTTCCCTACTCCTTTCTATAACTAGATCCTAGCATAGCTCAATATCTTCCCTACTCCTTTCTCCACCTTTTCACTAGAGCCTAGCCTAGCCCACCATCTTTCCTACTCCTTTCTCCACCTTTTCACTAGAGCCTAGGCTAGTCCGCCATCTTCCCTGCTCCTTTCCTTTATCCATCTTTTAACTAGAGCCTAGGCTAGTCCACTATCTTCCCTACCACTTTCTCCATCTTTTAACTAGATCCTAGCCTAGCTCACTATCTTAACTACTCCTTTCTCCACCTTTTAACTAGAGCCTAGCCTACTGTCTTCCCTCCCAAACTGAAAATTGGTAGTACATGGTAGTGAATATGGGCAAATACCATTATGGCCAGGTCTAACCTGATACATCCACACACTTCAAATATGGTGAGCCTAGCCTATGGTCTTCCCTAATCCTTTTACTACCTTTTAAATACAACCAAGCCTATGGTTTTCCCTACTACTTTGTACAACGTTTTAACTAGAGCCTTGCCTACCGGCTTACCTACCACTTATTACCATTCTGGAAAACATGGCCCTGCCAACTCTGACACTTGATGTTTACCCTGTGCTTTGGTAACCTCAGCCTGCCCTACTCTCACCAGGCACTTACTGACTGATGTGCCTGAAAAGTAACCTCCACATTGGAACCTCAGACCAGGCCTTCTCTTACACCTGACATTTATCTATCACCTCATTAACTCATCCCTCGTCTAGGCTTTTAACTGATGTTTACTTATACAGTGAAGCCCCGTTAGTCCGGACTCTGATAATCCGGATGTCTCGCCTCCCGGACGATTTTAGCTTGTTACCAATCTATGCCTAATTAATTTGCCTCAATAATCCGGAAATTCGGTTTCCGGAACGGGACGGTAAGTAGCTGTAACCAATCAGTAAAATAAACAGTAAATTGCTTCACAGTCCGGACGCTGTAAGTCGTGTTCACGAACCATAACAACACCCCATGGCGATGTTTACTTAACTGGCCATAAACAATCAAAACTTGGTGTCAAGGAGTTGACAAGATGAACTCTTGTTAACTTTTGAGAAATGTGGATTAAGGGTACTATGTTAACTATGGTAACCTGTGCTTAGCCTACACAAGGCCCTGATGTTTATTGACTACCATGGAAACTATGGGCCAAGCCTGCTCCTTAACTGTCTCCTTAGCAACTCAAGTCAAGCTTACTTTCTCCCTGATGTTAACTTACCTTGTTGGTAACTTGGGCCTTGAACACCTTTAGCTTCATGAAAATTTGCTGTTTTATAATAGTGTTGTTGTTGCACAATCATCACTGCAACGAAACAAAAAAGGATGTATATTTCTTAGATTATAGCATTAGCTGACTTGTGTTTTTCACTAACATACTGCATAGTTAGGTTTTATCATAAAAACTCCAATCAGTATATATTAACAGATTCATAATGTAAATAAAAATAAACTCAACATTGTTTATACTATATGGATATATTTTGTCCTCTCATGTAATGAACAACTTACTTGGGGCACTACTGGTCATAAACGGTTGTTGAGAATGTTGTTCCTGGTAGGGGGTACACTGATACCCTGAGGCCATCCCGCCAGGATCATGACCACCTTTAGCTATCTGGTCCCATGGATACGCCATGTCTTTTCCACCAAAGTGTGATGGCCCAGTTGCCATGGGAAACGTAGCGGATGGCTGTGGATGAACATACGGAGGGAGCTGTTGCTGAGACATTGGTGTCCCTCCAGCTGACAAGTGCTGCTCCGGCTGAACCTGGGGGTCTTGTGAAATCTCATCATGAGCAGACGCTGTACATGTTCCATCCAACTGTACTGGCTCCTCTGACACAACAGCAGCCCTGGGTGTTATCTGTTCCGTGGTATTCTCATGAACTGGGTGACAGGAATGAGACATAGATCCCAGTTCGTCAGTAGATCTGTGAAGCTCTAGTCCTCCTGCCATTTGGGGGATGCTGTCAGGAGGGGTACTGATTTCTCCATCCATTGAAGGACTCGCTTCGGAGGTTGAGCACATCTTTGGTTTCTTATCCCCCGACATGTTCCATAAAAACTACGTGTCTGCTGACCTTAAACCATCAGCCTGCGAATTAAAATCAGAGACAATGAAATGAGACAGAGTGAATGTTGAAGAGTATAAATAGGGGTGTGGAAGCCAAAGGTGAGAGTACTAATGGTGTGAAGAAACAAGATGTGAAAGCACTGTCAGAAACAGGACCTGGAAGCACTGGTGTGAAAAAGAAACTGGACGTGAAAACACTGGTGTTGGGAAGAAATGAGATGTGAAAGCCCTGATGCCAGAAAAAAAGCACTTGAGAAAGGGAGGCTGTACATGCAGATGTGAAAGCAAGCATGTATACTGAACAACATTAGAAACGCACCACCCATATAATACAAATTTTACCCGTCCCACTGAAATGTACCCATATCTGAGCATTGTTGGTGCATTTTAGTGTGGTGTGTTTCTAATGTTGTTCAGTATATAAAAGGATGTGGATGAGAAAGCACTGATGTAAGGGAGGATCTACATGTGAAACCACTGATGTAAAGGAGGATCTGTGTGTTAAACCACTGTTGTAAAGGAGGATCTATATCTGATTTCATATGCTGAATATGGATCTATGTCAGAGATTTTACAAATCAAAGTTACATGTATGGAAAATGAATTTAATGATCATTAAGCTTTCACAATAATCACAACAGTTTGAAAAAACCCAAAGTGGCTTAGTTATTTGCCTTAGTCTGAGAGTTTGGGTTCGAATACAAGAATCTGTGAGGTGAGGTGAAATTGGGTTTAACGTCGTACTTGAGAATATTTCGCTCATATGATGACGTGCATGCGTGTATATGTGTATGTGCGGCTGCTTGTACTAGCCCAGACTGAAACTGGTTTTATAGTGCTAGCCCACTGAGATACCATGCCGCAGTGAAGCATTAATTCCCCACTCAGACACATTATACTGACTCCGAGCCGACCAGTCCTTGTTGTACCCATTAATGCCAAGCGCCAGGCAGGGACCAACAAGTACCATATATTACGTCTTTTGGTATGACGCGGTCTGGGATCGAACCCACGACCTAACGCTCTCCGGCCTAGAATCTGTATTTCACTGAGTAAGTGTAATCCCAAATACAACATATGTTATATATATTTAACCACTTTCTGAAAGGCATGGAGTATTTACTGCAAATTACCAAAAGTTTGCTTTTCCCCTCAATGAAACATCAAACATGCTGGTTAAATATAAAATCATATATGAAAACACGTGAAACACAAGCCCACTATTCGGTTCTTTGAAAATTGCAAATGTATGACAATTACAGCTGGCAATTGTATAATTACATTAAGCAATTAATCCCAATATAATCCACAATATAATCCACAGACTTTGTGCTATGTGATGTTACAAAATGTATTTATTTTCATTACGAAACTTGATCCTACATACATTGTATTGAAATTGTATTGACAAATGTGTAGAAATATTTTGGCTTATTACAGCTGATTGTATTCTATATTGAAACTAATTGTAACGCTTCCTGAAGCTACATATGCTGCATGTTCCTTTTAATTATATCATTGTATTAATATTTCATAGATAATATATATCTCCAGATATATTTAACTAGGCAGTGGTTATATAAGGTTATTAACATTGAATGTTTTATATGCATTATGTAAACTTAAAACTATGTGTACATATTTATTAGTTAATATTTCAGATTTTCCTCATGTCATAATTTCCTTGTTGAAGGTGGCCTCATCTACACAAATGAGTTAACATACGCCTAACACCCCACAACCGTTTGTATCAATTTTGTATTCATTGTGATTATGCAAACATTGCACTGCCAAGGTCATACATATTGTTGCCAAACTAAAGCAACATTGCCCTCAAAGTATGCCTATGCCTTGATCAATTACTTTTTTCAGGTCCATGACCCCAATTAAGTCTATAAGTGCATATCTCAAACGGAATTATTCATATCACGATTCACAAATTCTACATCACCAATTCAAAGGCTATAAATAGAATGGGATTTCCCAATCGGAAATTTCTTTCCCAGAAAAGGGAAATTCAAAGAGGTTCACAAATTTTGATGAAAACCAAGTTATCCCGACATTTACTCATCACATTGGAAGCTGTTATTCAGGCGTCACTGATGTATGCCTTGGAGGAAGGGAGGACGATACGTTTGACACGTAAAGGTTGAACAAATATAGTTCCTGGACCCATGCGGGTGCATCTAATGTGACCAGTTAGATCATAGCTAGACCCTATATGTTCTGGAAAGATCCCACAGAGAGCGTTATACTGTCTACCTGTACTGTCACCATTCAAAGAGCTCTATATCTTGTAACACTCGATGAAGAAGTGGTGATTTCCAAGGACGACACAGACAGGCATTGGCAGCATGCAAAGCGACACCGCGGGCGATCAGAGTTGTCGTTCTTTGTTACCGGATCACTGGGATAGTATTGGATTGTAGGTGGGGTGAGGTGAAATTGGGTTTTACGTCGTAATTGAGAATATTTCGCTCATATGACGACGTGCACACGTGTGTATGTGTATGTGCGGCTGCTTGTACTAGCCCAGACTTAAGCTGGTTTTATAGTGCTAGCCCACTGAGATACCATATGCCGCAGTGAAGCATATATACCCCACTCAGACACATTATACTGACTCGAGCCGACCAGTCCTTGTTGTACCCATCAATGCCGAGCGCCAGACAGAGACCAACAAGTACCATATTTTAACGTCTTTTGGTATGGCGCGACCGGGGATCGAACCCACGACCTTCCGCTCTCCGGGCGGACGCTCTAACCACTACACTACGGAGGCGGTCTTATCGGATTGTACACCCTTGAAGAAATATAACATGAAGTAATGTAGTTAAATGGCGTGAAATGATATCACCACTATTCACTGAGAATATATATCCGTACGAAAACCCATAACACGAGGATATCAGTGCAACAAAATATATATAAAGAATATTCACGACCATATGTTACCATGCATGTCGCTCTAAAAAGAAAATTCATGAGTGGTGCAGCTTGGAATGGAACTATTGAATCTTTGTCATTAATAAGTCTGGACGGTTGTTTATGGCAGGTATATAAAGCTTGAAGTGATCTGTCAATCCAAAGATTATTAAAACAATTCGAAACAATAATACTATCCTTACATCCTAAGGGACGCAACTCTATGCAGCTCACTTGGCCGCATCAAACAAATCGAGCGGAGAAGACATAATACTTGACGAAGAGTGAATTTCGCACTCCGCAATAATCCAGCTATATGGCGGCTTGACAAAGAGTGCGTGAGTGAGTTTATTTTTACGCCGCTTTTAGCAATATTTCAGCAATATCACGGCGGCTTGACAAAGAAGTATGACAAGTGAACACATAGAAAGACCTGCATTAGAATAGGTCTAAAGCTATGTGTTTATGACAGCAAGATATTCTGTAAACGTGTATCATTGTGCCGAGGTGATTCTGCTGAAATGTATTGCTTAATTTTTATTAGATTCTATGACGTTAAACATCATTCATCCACAGACTTTGTAAGATGGTGATCGTGACACATGCAGAGACACCCGATCCAGGAAATATTACCTACTACTAGCAGGTCTTTGTTAGCAACTGTTAGCTGCTACTAGCAGTTACAAAGACAGCCTTTCTGCCCCTGGAGACTAACAATTACTGCTACTACTAGCTAACAGACACTACATGAAATATTATGACCATATTAGGCATCGTTATATTTCGAATCCAAAGCACGCCATATTGGGCCGAGGAAACACACAGTAGGTTGTGCAGTTTATTTAACTGTAGTTTACAAATCATGAAGCACAGTGCCTTATCGTGTTTGATTTTGCGTGTGTACATGTGATATTTGCGTTTCCAACTGGTATACTGTATATTATTTACGGATTACAAAGGTACCGTGTGTATCTAAAATTTGCAGTTGTCTAATGAATGTTTTCACTTTTCAAGTGTGCTCTTTATTATCTTCTCTACTCTTGGCCATACATTAACTGTCCACCAACCAATATTGATGTATGTATCTAGGCTACATTAAATTTTAACTGTATAATTAAATGTGGGGGAAATAGGTGAAAAATGGTAACCCCTCTCGTTTAAAAAAAATTGTTTCGTTTCTTTATCATTTCGAAATATATACCTTTTTTCTGTCACCGAAGTACATGAACCTGCATTTACTGTAAAATAAGCCAACAATATTAAACGATTCTGTGATTTTTACATTTTGCATAGATCACTAATTGGTATCCTATCTTAGTCACCCAATTCGTTGGTTTCGCATTAATTTTCTGTCATACACTTGTCGGCCATAGATGGCCTTGACATTAAGTGACCTTTTTACAACCTCTAAAACTATTCTTAACAATTTACTGTTCCGTACATCATCCAAAATATAGGATTATTGCAAAGTTCATATTTCGCGCCCATTAGCAAACAGTCAAAATCTTACAGTATATTATATTTTCCACCCAATGGCCCAATTTCGTTTCTGCGGATCCGCTCAGATCACTTGAATGTCAAGGCCATCTATGGCCGACAAGTGAGTATGATTACCGATGGTTTTGGAGAAAATGTCTGCTTACTGTCGAGGAAATGATTTGTAGATGTTGCAATAAGTTTTTAGACCCGTGGAATGCCGCTGCGGATCGAATCTAGCCCTACATAGGTGCTGTCAACGTGGCTGGAATTAATAAACGAATTTAAAAGGCGAGTTTTCACTGTTTTGGGTGATCCGTGAGTTTGGCTTGGAATTGCAGAGGTAGCTTTTTTCGGGGAGTCGTGGCGTATAACTTTTGAAATAATTATCCGATTGTGACCATTTATAGCTCATTTTGTAGGGAAATCATCTCGCTTTGATCCGAAGGCCTCGACGGGGCCTTAAGAATAGTTTACGTGGTGAAATCTAACTTAGATTGAGGAGGGTGAGGTTCCGTCGTTACATCCCTTTCCTTTTATATAGTACTAGGGTAGGGTCTATGTACCTATTTGCCTTTCTAACGCTGTTTCTAAGCGTGACACGCCCCTGTGCTGTCATCATTGTGATTATCTTAAGCATTATTCATATTATGTCTAAAATATGTCTGAATGAATGTGTTTTTCTTAGAAAAATGCTCATCACAAGGACAAGGACAGTGGTTGCCCCCTATCGCAAGATAGGTGCAAGGGGGAATATTATAAAAGGCAAGGTGTCCTTGCACAGGGAGCAACTGCAGAGACTGAGTAAAAAAAAGCCAGTAACAGTCATCAGTGAACAGATGGCAGATGATCAAGAACATCTGCCACATCATGGTTGGTTTTAGTAAATGTATATTCAGTATATTTTGTTCATCACATTATTTTCAGTATTTTATTATCATTATTCTTTCTGAATTTATACAATCCAAGAAATTGCAGAAACGAAAGTAAAAGGCCAAACTGAGTGCATTTATTGTAGGTACGATTTATTTGTTAAGAAGCATCACCATATATCAATTGAAAAATACTGCATCTCTTAAGTGTTGAGTCAGTTATGTTTACTATTACAATTTTCATTATATGGCAGGTTTTCAGTATAGCTGAAAGAGGGAAAGGAAGCAGTTTCCTATCATTTGCTTTCTCACGAGCCATTATAAATCATCTCATAGTGAAACCATGAGTTTTATTACAGAGAAATATTGGACACTCTCATTATGACTTGTATCTCCATCACTTGGAATTTAATTCAGTACCGTTATGTATCTTCTAACTGATTAAGTAATAGTTTGCAGTGAAAGAATATGTTGCTTTGTGGTTTCTCTGTATATTTTTGCAGGAGAGCATCCCATTAGTGGATGGTAATTTGTTAGTTAGTATTAGCCAATCAGATTGATTAATGACGCGATTGTCACATGATTTGTTTCAGTTTCATTGATTGATGTAACCCTTATCATTCCTGTGGTTACATGTCTGTTAAAGTAATATCTTTATCATTGTAATACAATCATTTTCTCAACTGTGATATTTGTTTTCCTCTTTGGCTGACTCTACTGTGAGTTTATGTTCAGTGGCATCTGTCATTTTCTGTCTCTCCATTAATCTTATGTGTACTTTTACTATGATGAGGAGGGAAAGAAGAAGCTGACAAGTATACGTTTCTGGCTAACATGTTGCAAGTGCAACCAGTGACCAACATTTAAGACTTTGTTTATCTGCAACACACAGTGATGCACTGCTTGCAGTGCTTATGTGTGCTTGTGTGTGTGCGTGCCTGCATGCGTGTGTGTGTGTAATAAGTTTTCATGGGAAAAGAATATGCCCGTGTATACTGATATTGTCATAAATCTGTAGAACAAAATACAGTCCTTGAAAATGTACTGTAATGTTAATTGGAATTTTCCAGCTTATAGAGAAAGCATTAGAAACTTGAATTATTGTTACAGAAGCACAGTGTTATTCTGGTCTTGTGGGGAAATAGTCTGTGTAATCCATATAATTGTGCGAGTGGATTTGTGGTACACCCCTTCACTCGTAACACTGTTCATATCATAGTACCTATTTTATTTGTTACCATGGCAGTATGTTATTGGCATCACACAATTATCTCTTCCCCTTAATTCAGTACAACTGTGGTGGATGTTGCTTAACTTTGAGGTCAACTGAACGATCTACATGAGGAAGGTATATCTTGTTTAACTAAATCTTTGTGTAAATAATATTCATTTTTAAACTTTTTTGTTCGTTAGGTGAAGAGCATATATAAAGTTCTTATGAAAGAAACGTTGGAGGAATTCAGATACTTCCTGTACAACATGAACCATTTACACCAATTCCACCCTCAACTCAGTAATGGAGCAGAGTGTGCAGCCTGCTACAAAGTAGGTCATTTTAAATTTAATTTTATTAAAAATCTGATTTTGTTATAATTAAAAGGCATAAATTTGAAAGGTTTGTGGTCTATACATAAAGTAGTAGGGGGAATGGGGGGTACGAAATCACTTTCAACAAAGCCTCTGCAAAGCCTTTTTCACAAATAAGGCTTTGGTCGGACCCTTGATCCAGCTACCATTACCCCTACTGCTTTCCCGATCTTATAAAAAGTTCAGACACCAGCGGGATACGAACCCCGAATGCATACCTCACAGCCACACTACTCAACCGACTGAGCTACCTGGGACTTAGCTGAAGTATGTCGGTTTAACGGGTCTATCCTGGGATTGCATCATCTATCCTGAGATTGTATCATCGCTCCACGTGCCGCTATGCCGTGTTGACAGGAGGTAACATTGTGCCGTATGGTACGATCAATAATTCCTCACTAACGAGCCCTCTCCCTGGCCCATCTCTCATGTAGTACAAGTTCGGCTCGTCAGGTTTCATGTCCACTTTATCTATGTTGTAAGTTTTGACTGACCATATAGGATCGGTGGCTCGCTTACGGCTATCACCCTCGTGTTTCCCCGGCTGGTATAGATACCTCACTAGGGCCCTATCTGGTATCTGTTTCTCTTTCCCACGCAATGGAGCAGCCGACTCTGCCACTATTGATTTTAGTTTGATAGCGTCTGCCGGTTTCTTGCCGGTGAGACGGGTGGCTTCATGGTTGATTGCCGACACCACCTTAGGTAACCTCGCACACCCATTCAGTCGATCGCTTCCCCGGTTGGCCATCTCCCTCGCGATACTGATGTCCGAATAAGCGCCAGCCAAAGTCCTATTGAATCTCTCAACTATGGCTTGGCTGTGATGGGCTCCGCCGCGCTACACCTGACCTTTTGTATCGTGTTTGGCTAGCAGTTGTGATACGACACCCATGAACTCCTGCCCGGGTCAACTTGCAGCTCTGTTGGCCACGCCAGCGGACTGGCGCTTGTATATGCGCTCAATCCTCTGGCTACCTGGGCAGAGTCTTTTCGCTGTCAAGGGTTCGCTTCCTTTGTAGCGACTGGACACATCCACGACGGTTAAGGCATACTTGTACCTCTTGTCGTGGGTAGGAATAGGAGGTCGGCCTGGTGAACGCTTATTGGGTATGTTAATGTCGAACTTCCTTCTTGGTACGAGCGTGGTGCCGGTAAATAGATCTGCCACAGGGCTTGTTTTTCGCCACGCTTTTGGCTTCCTCCGGGTACTTCAAGGCCATTTTAGCCAGCTTATCTACAGCTTAGTTCTTTCCAGTACCCACGCTGGCTGTAGTAAATAGCCTCAAACTTTCTTTGGTTCCGTGACATGTCACCTAGACTGGGTATCCTGTTTATACATACACCTATGTTCTTGGTTCAATTTTTCTCATGCCCGTATTGACGCCGATCGTTTATCCCATCAATAGCTATCCAACGCTTAGTGTCCATCGGCAACAGGGACGCCTTGTTTATAGTCAGTCCAGATATCCTATGCCCATCACTTCTAAGTGTGTTCATTTTATGTCTAAAGGTATCGGTCTTGAACAAGGCTTCCTTGAATCTGGCGTGGTTTGATGTGTTGTTTCACCACGCACTTCTTAACACCTTTCGCCTTCCGGATCTCCCCATTGTCTGCCTTCAGGATGGAGTACATCTTAGACCTCAAACCTATGTACTGGCTATGGGCGCAAGCAGCACACTCGCCCTTCATCTTACCTAGGACCTTTTTATTTACTGTGCTGTGTATGGCATGGTCCTTGGGGTAGTCGCTAGTGTCTAGAAAATCGGTGGCGCTTTTTTTCATGTCCTCGCATTAACGCCCTCGGTTCAATCTCCATCAGCAGGGAATCCGTGGTCAGTGTACAGCACTTCGTCGTACTGTTTTTTCAGCTCATTGTAGTAAAAGTCGTACATCAGGTGTTTGGATAAATCGAGGATGCTCATCCCCACGTAAACAGGCCGGTTGAATTTTATGTGGCTTTCCTTCATGTGTAGGGCAACTAGGTCGCCGGGTGAATATTTTGCTATGGTTGAATGCCGGACTGGCTATCAGTCTCCTGAGCTTGTCTTCCTCATTCGACCAAACCAGCTTCACGGTCACGCCGTTTCCTCAGGTTCTCCATAGTCTTACCAAACACCGAAGTTGTTCATGAGCTTGTAGAGATTTTTCTCAAAGTCACTGGTGGCCAGCTTTCGGAGGTCTGTGTTCATTCTGATGTAGTAGCCCATCCAGGGGCTCTGGTTGAACACGAAGCACCCTGTGTATTTTGGTCAGCCTCATACCCAACGACAGGTACAGCTGTAGGTTGCGACAGTGAACGATGTACTTGGTCTTATTCATTAAGTTGGGCACAAGTTTTTCAACGTCTGCCACCTGCCCACCTAACAAGTTATGTTGGTACTCAGACATCCAGTCTGGGTTAACCCTCATACGCTCGGGGCCAGGGGTAGCTGTTGTGTGATGTGTGTAATGCCTTGGGGTATTCCAAGTCAACCTCGAGGATATAACCTTTGTTCGAATCTGGCGCGATGCTCATAACATCGACCTCGGACGATGCCCATTCGAATCCCCCTGTGGGCAGATACTGGCTCATGGCCCAACCGCATACAGGTTGTTGGCGCCGAGGTAGAGAATATGATTGGTTGGCTTGCTCGGTCGTAGCCCTTCACGTATTGATTATTTGCTTTCGCTGCATCGCTTGGTTGCCATGGAAACTCCGCCGCAAGCCTCTTCTCAATGAATAGGTGCATGTCGTAATCTGTGAGCAATTCCAACTTAACTTCGGTCTTTTAAGCAAGGCATCCCACGACAGACCTGGGCTGGTGTAATACCATGCGGGTCGAAGTTTATACTGCTTGAAACATGTCCGCCAAACGCCTCAAACACGCCGGCTAACAGCAGTACATCTGTCCTCAAGTACAGGTCGTGGTAGTCACCCAGATTCTACAACCCAGTTTATTCCATACTTTAATAGCATGTGAGTAATCGCCTTGGGATATTGCCGAAGTCGGTCAGGTTGCTGTAAAATTCTCTGATGGGGGTAGTCTGGTCTCGCTAACTTGGCCCAGCCATCCATGTACTCATAGGGGTACACACCCTTCCTCATCAGCAGGGGTCTAGTCTCGGCCGGTGTATCGATCGGTGATGGGGAAGGTATCGCTGGCTTTAACAAGACTGTCGAAAGTGACGACAGGAGGAACTGAACCGAAGTCGATGAACCTCAGGCCATTCAAGCTGAAGGAGATGTATCTCTCCATGTTGTTGGGGATGCACGTCAGGTTGCCGCCAACTTTCGCGATGGCCTGCATGATCAAGTGAGAGTCGCACTTCTCAAGTTGTAAAAGACCACGGGATGTTTATTGTCTTAGGGGTGATTCTAAGCTTGAGGTTACACCGCTGTGAGCGCGCCTCTATACTTACCGGGTGACGGACAGTGATCTCTCACCGAATCACCGTTAAGTGGTGAGTCGCACACGTGACAATTAGTGCTACAGGCGTGAGCTAGCCGGTCGGCTTGGGTCATACGCATGGGAGCGACTGTATACAGTGCATTCCTAATAATTTTTTCTTCCTCCTGCAAACACTTTAGAAACCTTTCAGCCGCCTCGGGACCCCTGTACACTACCGGAGCTTTCGTTTTCCTATCACACCGGACGACTATGTATCCAAACCCACAGGCTTCATGCTCCTGTGTTTTCTGTGTGGTTGGGGTCCCCCCAATATCAACAGGTTTGTCCAAGGCTTCAAAGTTGGCGTATATAACATAAGGCACAGACATTTGGTTCTTGTGGTTTCCGAATTTTAGGATATTGTCACCTTCCTTAGGCATGTCGACTCGTATGGCCGTCTGCCCCACACCTTGGCAATCCTCCCGGTGGGATTCTAATAAATCAGCTCGTGTGAAGCCGTGTAGGCACCGTTTGCAGAAGTGGCTCTTTTCTCTGTGTGCCGATTGGTCATACAACAGCCTGCTAAAGTGTTTTATCCACGCGTAGTGGTACTTATCACCTCGCTGGATCATGAATATATTGATAACGTGGCGACCCAACACTGGGCTGACCCTGTGCACTATTGTTGTGTTACCTTCGTGCCCAAAGACGTTTATGGCTATATTATTCTGTTTTTCTATTTTAGTGATCTGAGATATGGGGGTGGGTTCATCTATACCATCCCAGTTGAGCCCATCGTCCTGGGGATAACTAGAAGGCCTATTCGAATTAGTGTCAGCTGGAAACAAGGCTGACCTGATAGCTAACCTCAGGCAATCGTCTCCTCTATTCTTGACGTTGACCATGGCCTGTTTTTTCTTATAGTAGGGGGGCAAGTCTAGGTATGATCCGCCTTCGAACGGCATCGTGAGTTAGCTATGTCTAGATAGACATTATCGATTTTATCTACAGCCCACCCGACCCCAAGTGTGTGTAGCATTCTAGGTATTCTCGTGATCTCGCTGAAAACTGGTATCGATTGATGCGCCTATGGTCTCTGTATGCGTGGCGACCTCTTGCCTACCTCGGAAGTAAGGCTGAACGTGCTCAGTGACCCCATTCCCTGCCTGCTTATCGAAAGACATTTTCACTGTGATCTGAAACTTGATACTTCCCAGATCGTTTAGTTCCTGGTTGAATTTATCAGCTATCAGAGGCTTGATATCTGTGATGTCTATATTCCTATCAACATGCATGCGCTCCAGTGCATATGAACTGTAGGTCAATAGCTCTCTTCTGCCGTAATAGTTCTACAAGCTGTGGTTTCTTATGGGAATAACCACCTAAACCCAAATTGCGTACCTCGGCTTTTAATTGTTTTACAGTAGGAGGTTTTGCTACGGGGGCATGTGATAACAATGCGTCTAACCCGGCTCTCCCCAGGTGGGAATAACCCGTGAGCCCAAGCTGTTTTGCTTGGACTTTTAATTGTTTTACTGTGGGAGGGGCTTCTAAACCTAGTAATCTCAACAAGGCTGGCTTCCTCA